CTGAGATCTACTATGATGCAAGAACGTCTCAGTGGACTTGCCATTATAAGCATAAACCATGTGGTCTCAAATCAGTTGTCATATGATGATGTTGTAGATGACTTTGCTGCAAGAAAAACCAGGAGAGTAAAGCTGTAGCAGGTTATGTGAGATTGAGGAGGTGATGGTGTAGTTTTTAAGTTACGGCAGTACCAAAAACACCACTAGAGGTCTTTGTAAGATCGTCTTTTTATTTTTATTTAAATCCTTGTATTTTTTGTGCCTACTCGTTTCTTTAATATCTTATTTTGCACAGTGCCGTATTTATATTATATTTTTAAGTTAATGTCACTTGTTTACGCTTTTTATTTTGGGAGTATTAATAGGTACTTTATGTAAGCTATTTATATTGTATTTCACATGTTCAGTTCATTTTTTTGTATTTGTTTCTTTAATTCTTTCTAAGTATTTTGAATGTGCAATTGCTTTATTTAAATAAAAGAATGTCCAAGACAAAGCTATTACGTTTCTTATGAGTATATACACTAGCAGTGGAATTTACTGCGATGCAACGGGGCGCCACCTGAAATCTTGCCTAGGGCGCCAAATTGGTTAGGGCCGGGCCTGCCCACGGGTGGGACAGTGTCCAGTAGCAGGCGTGCGTGAGTGGTTGTGTGTGCCCTGCATCTGGCCCTGTGTCAAATGGAATTAGCTCCAGCCTCCCCAATCCCAAGTAATGAATGAATGGATTATTCTCATTTTTCCTGCATTTTTATTAATGTTTTAACCCTGTACTCACGCAGGGAAGGAGATGGATTTTGTGTTCCTGGGAACAGTGGATTTCTTTTGTTGACACATTTAATAAGCTACGGTGGCTTCCTCCATTGTGGACTCTTTGCTTGTCTATTCCCTCAAAGGTTGTGAAGATTGGTTTGCTGTTCAACAGTTTTGTCAAAGTTCCCTGAAAACCTTGTGTGGATTTACTTTGTGAATGAATCCACTTATCACACCAGGCTTTGCTTTTGCCATTTGAAATGTTGGCATTGCAGGGCCTGCACATGCCTGTTTAGTCCTGTCCTTCCAGACATGCCCGTGTGTTACGTCCACGGATCAGGCCATCCCCAGCACCTCGGCGCCAGACACCGGGGCTGCTGGCGACTCCACCCCTGCTCGCACGCTCCCGGCGGCGAGGCACACCTGCGCTCAATTATCAGAACCATACTTAAGCATGGCGCTGGTGTGTCCTCGTCGCCAGATGATCTGTCATCTTTCGCCCGGCGATCATGCTCGTGACACATCCTGGATCCTCGTCTTTTTCCCTACCTGAACCGTGTCACTCTGATAAGTACCTGCATGCCATATGTACTGTTTTTGTTTCTGCCTTAATGGAGGATTGTGTTTTGTGTCAGAACTGCTGTGTTTTATGTCCGAACTGTCTTAATGGAGGAATGTGTTTTGTGTCAGAACTGCTTTAGCAGAGGTATGTTTTTGTTTCTGGACTGCTTTAACGAAGGAACATGTTTTGTTTTTGAACTGTTTTAACGGAGGACTGTTTTTGTTTTTGAACTGCTTTAGTGGAGGTATGATTTGTTTCTGAATTGATTTAACAGAAGAGTGTTTCCACAGCACTGGTTACTGTGGATCATCTTTTTTGTTTTTTAGTTACTGGCCCGGGCTGGCATAGCACTGGCACTAACCTCACTCTGCACGCCTCAGCACCAGAATCTACACCGCCACGTTCTTCTCGACCACTACCGACCTGCTCTGCCATCTGCTGAGACCTCCCGTACTATTCATCTGCTCCGGTCTCCTGTGATCACCTCACCAGTCAGCCCGGCCATCCTGCTCTGGACCAACAGTCTTCACTATGCAGGTTCCCAGTGTGATG